GAAAATGCTCCAAAACGCGACATTAATTTCTTGATGATCCGACACTATATCAACACATACAACTTTGGTTTTAGCCTTTGTACAGCTTCAGTAAATGTTTAAAATGAATATAAGTTATAGAATAAAGAACACATATCTACCTTTCAGCGAAAAAGAATTTGTGCTACATTTTGAAATTGACATAATGGATGTTTGTTTTGTTTGTTTGTTTTTGTTTTTCCCACAAAGCTACACGAGGGCTATCTGCGCTAGCCGTCCCTAATTTAGCAGTGTAAGGCTAGAGGGAAGGCACCACCTACCGCCAACTCTTGGGCTACTCTTTTACCAACGAATGGTGGGATTGACTGTCACATAATAACGCCTCCACGGCTAAAAGGGCGAGCATGTTTGGTGTGACGGGGGATTCAAACCCGCGACCCGCAGACTGCGAGTCGAGCATCCTAACCACCTGGCCATACCGGGCCGACATAATGGAATAACTTTAATAAGCTTACAATTTGCAAATTATGATTTATGAATACATGACATCGATTTATTTTTTGTATCATCACCTAACTTATGTATACTACATACAATTTTTGTGGGAACGTAGAAGTTTTATTAAGAGTGCCACTATTTCTACAACCGGTCCCACGGTTCTCGTACTGGAACTGATTTCTATTGGGCCTACCTTAACACTGCATGTACACAGGTAATATATCTTAAATACCACTACAGATATATTTTCTCCAAATTCCTCTTCATTTGTTCATTGCGAATTCAATATCAGATGGTGTAAAAATAACATTTCAGATTTATCTTATATTTTCACAAATCACTGCTCAATAAGCCTTTACTTCAGTACCAGATTTTGTCTCTTAGGCCGACGATGAGAAGCAAAAAAAATCTTTGAAATACTAATTATATATTCAGTACAGTGTTGGAAAAAATAATATTTGTAGCTGTCACAAATTTTAGGCCTATTAGTTTCTAATGTCCTCGCCACTTTTCAGAGTTTAACCAGTAACTTTTTATGAATATTTTTACTAAAACAATCACCATGAAGAGGGCGCTAAATAAATGCAGACGATTTATTACAAGTCGTTGGATAAAGACAATAGGTTTAGATACTAGTTTTAATAGGCTGTATAAGCTTACCGTAGTGTTATAGGTAAGAGTAGAATTTTAAAACGTAGAAAATAGTAAGCATTTTCCCAGTCTTTATAAGAAGTAGGGCTTATTTTGTGGCTAAATAAATGGCTGACTATTAAATTTGTTGATATACATACACTCTTAACATATTTTATTTGTAAAGTAGACCTGTACTACTAGTACTAAGTAAACAGCAAAGCTAGGGCCTAACTTTTAGCATATACCACTAACACTGTACCAGTGAGCTTTATGTGTAAACTATACGCCAGACCCAAAGTTATCGCAGTTAACATCTGCCTTTAACGTGATTTTTATCACAAATGTTAAGCCTACCGGTTTCTAATATTTGTCAACTTTCGCACTTTTAAATTTAGAAATTTAGTGTTTTGAAATTTATTTTCAACGAATTTCCAAGACTTAAACTGTCTAATTACGTAGTTATTTAAATTAGGCCTGACATAAACCTGACTTTATCATTGACGTTAAGCCAAAGCATTTAGCATTTGTTAAATTTCGCGACTTGTTTTTATGTGCCTCCCAATCACACCAAAGTGTGATGCATACTCTCAACTTAGAGCTGTAAATTATAAATACAAATTAAATATTCAAATTATGTTTCACTTTTCTTTTTGGGCTAATGCTGTCTTATTTTGTTTTCATGTGTCAGCATTTTATTTTATTATAGCCAGTGGCCTCAAAAGGTAGAAGTGGCCTGGGCCTCTGAGTGGGTCTCAGACTTACAAAGTTTGCTAATGAATTAATTTTAGCCTCATACCTAAAATGTCTAAGATAACTGTTAAAGATTCACTACAGTATAGCCTATAAGTAGTAAAGCTTAACGTTTGTCTTAACGATGAGGTTAACACACAAACTAATATATCACTTATAATTTATGTATGTGTTTGTGTGTTTTAACAGAACCAGATAAAATGTATACTTAGAATAAATTAGTTACAGTTAGACCAAGTTTAATCATTAATAAGTACTTAGGCTTACTAACAGTAATACCAAGTCAAGAGCAGTGGTTACAATTAACTGCCACTGTTAATGTTAAGTGTAACGTTGAGTTTTATTGGTAATAACCGTTACAGATTAGGCGTACACGTAGCTTAGTCAAATACTGAAACTAAGATAAACATATGAAGATTAGAGTTAAGAAATGAGGAACCCGCTGGTTTATTCGATATAATATCATGATGAGCCTTACTGTGAAAATTTTGTTTTTTTTTAAATTAGCTAAGACCGCAATGTTTTAACCTATAGGTGCGGGCCATCTTCAGGCACAGTTTGGTTATCAACAATTTCAAATTCAAAGAGTAAAGTAACTGTTATTCTTGGCAGTGAACATGTTGAATTATAAGTATTCAACATAGGTGGGAAATATAATCATATGCAAGAAAACAAAGCAAACCTGAAATATAAAAAAAAAAATTCAAACGGAGACCTAAGTGAAAACTTGTATCCTAGTGACAAAACAGAGATGAACCTAAATTCAAAGTCCCTAACGTCATTCAAAGTAAATTCCTGCCAAAATCAAAAACGTTGTTGTTATTATTTGATTGTTCATATGAATTGGTAGAGAAATATTCGCATTTTTTAAGTTTGTGTTTATTTGTTTTAGAGCAAAACCACGTTAACTACTATATCCACCAGCGGGAATCGAACGGCTGCTCTTAGGCGGCGTAAATCTAGAGATTTCCCGCTGTCCTACCGGGGCACGAAACTAATATCATCATCTACCAAATCACGGAAAGTTTTAAACAAATAAACCAATGTTAAATCTGCTTTAAATAACGATAACAATAACAACAAAAAAGAATGGAAATAATTACTTAACAAGAAAAGAGCCCAACACAAGGCTGACAAAGGGGATACAACCATCGTACTCAATAAAAGTCAAAACATCACATTAATAATAGAAGCTTTAGGTAGCTCGTAAAAAAAAAATGATATCATTTAAATCTATATGAGAAGCAGATGAATTGTGTTTAAAGAAACTACAAAAAGAGCACTGCATTAGTCAACAAATACGTAATTGGTTACAGTGTAGCAAAGTAGAACACCGAAACTATAGTTTACCAAAGGCACATAAAACTCTTAATTTTTTTTTTCATAAGTCTAGTTATTCCCTTTTCAACTACAAGTTTGGCATCTTTCTTGCTTGAATCTTTTCGCCATACAGTACCTCTGAAAACAGGATAAAAGTATATCTTGTTTTTTTTTCAATTCTTGAAGAAATTAAATCATAAAACTAAAATAACATGTCAGGTTTTATGGGGCCGCGATTCTTTGCAGTAGATGTCTGTGACTTGTTGGCGATAAATTTCAACGATAAACAAACAGCACACAGTCCACTTGTTTTAAAACAAGTCAAAGATATATAAATGTTTGTTACACAGTTGAATTCAGAGCTTTAAATAATTCTCTTTTTGTCAAAAAAGTTCATACGGGCTGGTTCACTTACTTTAGAACCCAATTGACAAAATGAATTCTTCTTGTGTACTCTGTTATCATAATACAATCAGTGATAAATTCAATTATGTTACGCTGGTGGCTACCACAGTTGTATCCATAGCTTTAGATAATTCTGTTTTACACGAAAAGTCCACATAGGATTGTTCATTTACTTTTAGAATCCAATTGACAAGACGAATTACTCTTCTCTACTCTGTTACTACAGAACAATCTGCGATTATTACACTTTAAAAGTCGCCATTATACACTCTTTATAGCTAAACTCACGATCACCCAGTTTGTATCTATCTATATCTTTCTTCTTTTAAATTAATTTTTCGACACACGTATATATATACATATATATGCACACACTTGACAGCAATCTAAAGCTGTGGTTGCTCCCACTTCAACTTGTTGGGTTGGCCTTTGTTGGTCAGGTCCATCAGTAGTGCAGCGACTTCAGTGTAGTTTGGGATGAGCTTTCTGTAGTATCCCGCTAACACCAGGAAGGATATAACTTGCTGCTCGGTCGTCGGAGCTGGTGCATCTTGTATGCAGGTTAGCTTCTCCTTTTCCATGGCTATCTGTCAGTCACCCACCTAGTGTCCAACACAGAATAACCAATGTAGCACTCAGATTGTCTGATGTTCAGTCCTGCTGCCCTCAATCATCCAAACAGCTCTCTGAGTTTCTATAGATGGTCTTCCCCTCTGGCTGTGTGGGTTAGAATTTCATCCACGTAATGCTCGATGTTGATGGTTTTATGCAACATCTTCCTCATCATGCAATTGAATGTCACTGCTGAGTTGGCTAATCCAAAGGGCATCCTCTTGAACTATTAACATGCACATTAACTGGTGTCACAAAGTCTTTTTAGACTGTTTCCATCTGGATCTGCCAATAACCTTTATTGAGGTCGATCTTGGAAAGGAACTTGGCTTTATCTAGTTTTGCCGTAATAGCCTCTTGGTTATCCATAGGATCTGAGTCAAACTTTGTCACGAGGTTCAGCTTCCAGAAATCTATGCAGAAGCAGTTTGAGCCATCCCTCTTCTTTACGATTACCAAAGGCTCGATGATTCAGCTTCTAACACTGCCTTGGCTTTCTGCTTGATCAGGTCTTTCATTGTAGAAATAACTGCAGAAGCAGTTTGACCATCCCTCTTCTTCACGATTACCAAAGGCTCGATGATCCAGCTTCTAACACTGCCTTGACTTTCTGCTTGATCAGGTCTTTCATTGTACAGGGCATCTGGTAGGGCTTCACCTTGACTGGTCTCTATCTTGTGTTGCACAAGGTCTATCTTGCCTAGTCTACCTGTGAAGTCTATGTACTGGCACAGTAGATCTTTTAACTATTTCTTCTGCTCGCCAGTCAGTTCTTCACTGATGTTGATGTCTTTGTACATTTCATCTACACTCAACAGTCTTAGGTCTAGTAGGTTTCATCTTCTATGACAAAGTCACTGTCTTCTGTTTCCACCTACACCTACTATGTCCATCTGTGCTTCAATAGCAGTGTACATTATGTCTTCTTTCCTCTCAAAGTACCTCTTCAACAGATTAGCATGGTAGATCTTTGTCTTCTCGTCCACTTTCACATTATTGTCCATTCTGTTGACCACTTCCTGCACAAAACAACATTCAAATTCTACAAAGTCAAACTGATTTAAAGGGAGTAAACATTGCATAAGGTATATTGATCAAACTTTAAAACTTTCTTTGAACCACTATCCCAGAACTCTGTCTCTCTAGTTATAATCCAAATAATTCCACACTGCATTTTTAGTAATTTTTGCTACCTTTGTTAAATACTTATAATTCAACAGGTGCAGTGCTGAGAATAACCATCTCACTTTGAATTTGTTGTTAATTGTAGATGGCTCGCTCTTATGGGCTGAAACCTTGCACTTTCAATTGCTTAAAACACTTCTGCACTGTAAAGCTAATCAATATATTAAATGTTAAGATTATGTTAGGCGGTCTAACACTGAATTTTCCATTACCAGTAATCTTATGAATTGGCTCATTACTCTATGAATCTTTAGTGTAGAATCAGGAATTTAATCATTTTATTTTAATTAAAACTCTCCAACATAAACTTAACCATTACTTTAGTATTACTCAGAATAACACATTTTCAGATCTGATCCCAATTTGCAAATGTGACTCAACTGCTTACTCTTGTTATCTAGATTATTTTATGTTATGCATATAGACACGTTTTTTCAATTATCGCCCTTACTTTTAGGTGCAGCCGCTAGTTGGCGATAATGTTACCGGCGCCATTGCAGTAGTGAAAGAAAACCTAAACAAACTGACATACTATAAACAAATTGTTTATTTTTTACCGAAATGGAATCAGATAGTGATTATTCAAAACCACCAGACGTAAACAAAATTACTAAGGATCGATGATATGAGAAATTGGGCAAATGTTATATATGGCGATATTTACAACTATCTGATGTAATCAAAGATAGTCGATGGTCAGGAGATGAAAAACTTTAAAAGCTTGCAGAGTTTCAACTACTTCCAAAGTAGTAACGTCGATCTAATTTTGCACCAAACATATGAAAATAATAACATTCATTTGAAAGCAGACGTCCGTACCTCACAAGATATATCAAAAGCAAATGAAGTATATTCAAATTCGATGACGAGGAACCCACTTTGAGACTAATAATGGTTGGAGACGGCTTGAATGGGTACCTGATGATGACAAACCCTTGTCGAAACGTTGTACATTTGCTGTTATGTTAAACTTGCATTAAATTTTTTCTTCAATACCCATTCAAGTCGTCTCCAACCATTATAAATGAAGTGTATGCTTGTATGCTCGTTGTAAACAAGATGGGACTATTTTAAAAGGATGGTGCTCATGTATGGACACTCGTACAGTCACGTAGGAGCAGTTCTATGGAAAGTTGAACACGCAATTACAGATAATTAGACGGGTATAGCATGTGCTGATGAGTCTGCAACATGGAACCGAGGAACTAAAAGAAATATAGAGCCAATATAAAGACATGGTTACTAAGTCATCATTATTGCCACTTTTTAACGTTAAAGATACAACTGTAAATAAAAGTTTCAGCTCTAAACTATACACAATTGAAATTGTATAAGAGGCTCGTTTGTTTGTTTTTTACTTCACCTTCTTGTCTCTGTAGCTTTCGTCGATCAGACGTTGCCTTTTTCTCACATCCCAATTTAAGTTTATGGAATAGATTTCTTCCAGTCGGCGTACCGACAATAAAATGTTCCGAGCAAACTTACACTTTTTCTGGAAATGTTTTCATGTTTATTGCTTTTATTCATTTGAGCTTAACTATTTCTTCAGACAGCATGACCTGAAATGTATAAAGGATTAAACAGGCACATTCTTGTCCTTGATTCTTTCTATAAATGTAGTTTCCAGCGATTATTAAAATCTCTCCGGCTTTTTTTTTTTTTTTGTACTTCTTTTCACTATCCATTGCCGATTCTTAAAGTAAATAGCAATTTAAGAAATGTAGACAAAGGATCGATATTGTTGTCATTAGAGACGTGCGTTTTCTTTTACTATCGTAATGGCAGACGCACCATATAATTGATTAAAGGTACCACACATGAAATTTAGGTCAATTGTAGATAAACCTAGCAATAAAAAGCTATTTTAGTCTATATTTGCATTTTTTCTTGTACTTTTCCCATTTAAATAAAAAAGAGTTTATGATAACTATTTTTTCTGAAGAAAAATGGCGTGCATATCTCAGATGCTTCGACCAAAGGAAAAGACTTCCAGCGTAAGTGAAATTTTCAATAAAATTATAATTTATTTACTAAGTTTTCATTAAAAAATTGGGATTTATACGTAAAATTAGTAGCGCTTGACTCTGACCAAATAATTTATTTGAAATATAAACATTATTTTTTTTAACCGTTGCTGTTTTTGTTTTTAAATATTATAAATTGACGAATTTATTCAAACATTTGATTTATCTGTGCACTGTCACTGTCGCGCTGTCATCAGAATACTTCATATTTGAAGATGTGAAATTCTCATATTTAATACACTCTACCAATGTCACATATGAATTATACAGAGGTTGAACACGTTATATTAAATCGATTCTGTAGCCTGAATTGTGTCGCTTTTCCAGACGGAGATCTTTCTTGATTATATTGCGTACTGTTGCCTTTAACAAGTGGACGGCTTTTGCCACTTACCTTTATTTTCATGGGTTCTAATCTGTTACAAGACTCCGCACTCTACTTACCGTGGCTGAGGTATGGCTTATTGCAGGTCTCTTTTTTTTTATGGTCTTGGTTCCCAAGGTAATTCATATTCCTTTATTTTCCAATGCCATTAAGTAGAAGAATATTTCCGTTTTGGAAATTCTAAGTCCTCGATCTGAACACGATTTCTGACCTGCGTGTATGAGTATTATGTATCGGAAAGGGCTGTTACAAACCCTTCCCAAAACCAATTAATTTTCGGTGGCACTACACTACATACGAAAAACAAAACAATGTCACAATGTATTTCTATTGTATGACGTTCCATCGCGACTTTACATCGGCTGTGTGTATTCTAAATCGTTTTGATATAAAGTTAAATAACTCATACAACTTCTATTCATAAATTATTAAACAATGAAAATAGTATAACAAATGGACTTAATAAGCCAGTCTCGTACTATTATATATTTCGTTTTGAATATGTTGTTAAGTGCTTTCCTTAAATCTATATGAGACGAATCTATTGCTTGTTTGTTTGTTTTGAATTTCGCGCACAGCTACACGGGGGCTATCTGCGCTAGCCGTCCCTAATTTAGCAGTGTAAGACTAGAGGGAAGGCAGCTAGTCATCACCACCCACCGCCAACTCTTGGGCCGAATCTATAGCTAAACATGCTTGCTATATATATATATATAAAGCTGTCAAATTTTCATACAATGTATTTAAGTTAATAACTACATGTAACTGTTGAGAAGTTATTGAGGTGACATAATTTATCTTATAATTTTCGAAAGTGAATTTGTTGGCGAAATTTTGACGAGAAAGTTATACTAAATGTCAGTATATAATGTAGGTAAGAATCAGAGTATGAGTTATAACTTGGAAAAATATTACGTCAGTACTCTAATACCTACAATTATTTATATCAAATGAATTATAGCCTTACTGCTGTTTTCAGCAGTCTGTTTATGCTTCATAGAGGTGTTGAATTTCTTAAGAGAAAACTGTAAAACAGCAAAAAACGATTTTTAAATTAACGGAACTTCATTCTCTGAAACGCATAAATTAACTGGCTAAACGAGCGTCACACAGTTTAAAATAACAGGCTTGATTAACACGTTTTTTTATGTTTGCTTTCGTTATAAGTCATATTTTCATAAAGTCTGATTTAGTTCTTTTTTATTATTTTTCTATTAAAAAAAATGTTTCGGTTTTCATATTGGTTATTCTGTAAAATCGATTTATATTATTTTTAAATTGTCTTATTTTCTTTTATAAGACATTTCTAAAGAGTAGAAATAAATCTACAAAACTGAAGTCCAAATAGGTAATAAAGTTATCAAAGCCCTCACAATATGTATTAGTATGTTAAAATGCTGCATTTGCGTTTATGACATAGTATGTTGATCATGTTACGGTTAACAAATATTTGGTAGTTGTGAGGATGTCTAAAGTAATTGAGCATGTCTCATATATACCACACGTAAGGATGATTCAGTATATTTATTATCATCGTTATGAATTCTAAGATCCGTATCTCTAGTCTATTTGGGTTTTCATGCTAAGTACCACATTGGATAAAATATTAGTACACTTCAGATTAAAAGAAAATACAATATGGAAAATAAAATTTTTATTAATATAGAAATGTGTTTTTTTCTAAATATAATTAGAAAATGCAGTTCATATACTTATTTTAGTTATTTAAGTGAATTTTAGAATATTTCTCTGATAAGAAAACAAATATGAAGCTATCTATACGTCTTCATTAGTGGAATGCTACATTTCCCAAAGAGCAAGTAACTGAAGTTCAGTCAAACCTTTTCATAAAGAAACTGCTCGCAATTTCTGTGTCAAACATCATGTATCTAAGAGCAATTCTTCCTGAATATGAATTTGGAAACAGAGTACTTGAAGGTATTTTCTTCTTCCGCTATTTTATTCTTGTAATTTTTGAAAAAACAATACAATTGTTTAATTAAGATAAGAAATATATATATATATATAAAACAGATTATGTTGTGTTCTTATATACAGGATAAAACTTCAGTCGTTTATTTGGCGTATTATATGCGCCACAGTTATTATTTTTATAGTGAGAAAAAAGTATAGTTGAAAATAATTTTTAAATACTTGTTTGAAGCTGGCTGTCCTCATACATTAGTACGTGCATTATAAGAGATACAACAAAAAACAAACCTTAATAAAGGTTATCTGACGTCAATCCCTACTTTTATTAGTATTCATTGAAAATAAATTTTGTTTTATCATGTACTTGACGTATTGATTGGTTCGTTTTGAATTTCGCGCAAAGCTACACGAAGGCTAGCAGTCCCTAATTTAACAGTGAAAGACTAGAGGATAGGCAGCTATCTTAATGTCATGAGAAGATAACTAGATGAGTTCTAATGTTCCTTGTTATAATTTGCCTCATTGGGCTCAAACCCTGATACCCAATAATCGACCTAAAAAGGTAATATGCTAGAATTTGCTGTTTTATTCTAGGAATAATAGCAGCTTAGACTACTGCACTATATTTAGTTCGTTTCGATGTCAAAATGGGAATGGTGTTGTGCTTTGTAGTTTTCTTTTGAAAAAAAAACAAAAAACAAATTGTAAACTATGTACTTTAAATATCGTAGAAATAGGTATGGTAAGTTTCATCACTGAACACTTGAGCCAGTAAAATTAGAGTTCTCTATAAGCATCTAGTAATTAATTTAGATTATTTTTTTCTTAGCACTGCAACATATTGTTTCTTTTCTTGCTTGTATGCAAGCACCTATATATCACAAAGAACCAAATGTTGGTCAAAGTAACAGAGAAAATGTTGGTCAAACAGTTGTCCGTGTACTTATTAACTTACGTTGGCCATTTTCACCAACTAAATTAGTTCACTTGGCCAAACAAACTTAGTACACCGTGACACATGTTAAAGTTGTAACTGTTAAACAGTACCAGTTTTGAAATATTACACAGTAACAACTTTATAATGTTACAACTTTAACGCTTTACATGGTTACAAATTTAACATGTTACAACTTTAACACACGACACAGTTATAACCTTAACATATTAGACAGTTACAACTTTCATGTGTTACACAGCTACAACTTTAAAATATTACATATAAAAAATGTATGTAGTTACTTCAACATGTATCACGGTTACAACTTTAACATGTTACAACTTTAGCATGTTACATGGGCACAACTTTAATATTTTACACAGTTATACCTTTAACATGTTACACAGTTACAATTTTAAAATGCTACAACTATATGTCGCTCAGTTTTAACATGTTACATCATGCACTGACTAAATTGATTGGTCAAGTCAACCAATATGGCTGACCAAGATGACCAATCTAAGTTAATCAGTACGAACAACTGTTTGACAGACTTTTCTTGGTCACTTTGACCAACATTTAGCTCTCTGTGTATATAATAACAAAACATATGCTACGCATTTGGTAGTTTCAACCTGAACGGCATCTTATGCAGCACAAAGATTAAATGACCTGGTCTAACTCCCACAAGCACAGCCGATCCCAGAAGGGGGAAAATCAACCAGCACTAACTGCCGCCTACATCATTACCCTTAACAGTTTGGTTTGTTTGGAATTTCTTGCAAAGCTACACGAGGGCTATCTGCGTTAGCCATCCCTAATTTAGCTGTGTACGACTAGAGGGAAGGCAGCTAGTCATCACCACCCACCGCCAACTCTTGGGCTACTCTTTTACCAACGAATAGTGGGATTCACTGTCACATTATAACGCCCCCACGGTGAAAGGGCGAGCATGTTTGGTGGGACGGGGATTCGAACCCGCGACCCTCAGATTGCGAGTCGAGCGCCCTAACCACCTGGCTATACCAGGTCACTTACCCGTAACAGAATATCCCCGGTAGGTCAGCACTCAGCAGTAGGTTTGCGGGCTTACAAAGCTAAAATCTGGCTTTTGATACTTCGCGATAAACAGAGCTGAAACAAACAAACCTTAACAGAAAAGCGGAATTGATTGTCACTTTTATAACGTCACACAACTAAAAGTGTGAAGTGTATTCAGCATATCATGGGCTTGAACTTTGAATTCTCTTATCCCAGCCCAGCATGCTAACCTCAAGCACACTAAGCACATTTGTTCAGAAAGTTGATTCATTGTTCTCGGTACTTTTAAGTTGTGAATTTGGAAAAAAAATGATCATTCTCTCACCTTTCGATTACATTTTCCAAAAGAAAATTAAACAAGTCCGCTATGAAGTTTGAATTTGATAGAGTGGGCATTTTTTACGTGATATATTATATAATTACGTTTTATGTAGATTCTATAACCACAGATAAAAAGTTGATTCAGCTCATTCAGAACTGAAAATAGTGAAATCTGAAATGAATCCTAAAGACGTTATGTACATAAAATTAAGGGTAAATATATTTGAGCCTTTAGTAAAAAGAAAATTCATAAGCTCTGAATAACAGATTATGTTTATACTAAATGAACAAATCTCTGACTAGCATTTTTTTTTTCTTTAACTGTTATCTGCTTATTGATGTAAGACTTGCGGCTGAAGATTCTCAGTGAAGGTAAAGATTGTCCTGGAGCTAGTCAGGTCATCAAATGGATTCGAGGCTGCTTTGATGCTTTGGACAAAAAATATGTGAGGAATAATTATGATATATATATATATTTATGCAACTTGTTATGGTCATTTAAGATATTGTTAAATAGAAATTATATATATCCAGTACAAAATCTGTATTTTCTGAATCGTGAGTAAATTAACAAATAAACTAAAAGTTAATGCGTTCATAAAACTAATTTTAGGTTTCTTAGATCTTGAGCAATGAATAATTCCCAATGAAACAATATATAATAATGTTCCAGATTTCTTTACAAAGTAGGCTTTATTAAGTTTTCTATATCAAAGCTTATTTCAAAAGGCTACCATTCTTTCACACAATTTAAAATTTTTACCTGCAAGATTTCACAGTTAAATTATTGAAATTAGAAATTTACATTTGTATGTAAATAGGGCGACGCCATTATGTAAGTAAGAAAATTCATTTTCGGTTTCCGAAGACGTACATAAAATTCACCTTGATTATTAATTTGTGTCTTTTATATACTAGCTCCATCAACATTTAAAGGGAATAACATATTTTGTAACATACTTCATGCTTGATTGTAATGGCACATTCCTTCAAATGTGCAGTTGCTTAAAATTTGAAAGTAAAAATACCTTGTCCTACAGAAGTGTATACAGCAATCTTATAAAGAAATGAAAACATTGTAAGGGTGATATATTAATTTCTCTGTTCTGTTTAAACTATAAAAAATTAACAATTTTTTATACGTTTCAGCTACGACGACTAATGATTGGGGTAAGTACTGATTTCACTTATTTTTCACAAGATATATTATTTAAAGTGTCAATTTATATATATATATATACTTTTTTAAAAGGTTCATTAATGAAAACTGTAATTTAATCACTGTAGTGTCTGGCCCTATAATGAAACCTTTAATTACAGCCTTATTTACAGGTAATTAAGATATATCTGTCATTCTGTTGTACTAAAAGCAACTAAAGTATACCATGTAAGTTAAAATTTTTGTTCTAATATAAACTTAGCAAGCTATGTATGTATTGGTGTAGAACTCGTATCGTCCAGTAGGGGGATTTTCTTTGAGGTAGTTGAGGTGACGTGATATCATAGTTCTACAAATTCGATGACGAGGAATCCACTTTGAGACTAATAATTCTTGGAGACGGCTTGAATGGTTAATGAAGAAAAACTTTACTATAATTTTACCATAACAGCAAATGTACAACGTTTAAACAAGGTTCTGCCGTCTCCAAGCGTTAATAGTTCCACAAAGTGGCGCTAGGGAAATTGTTTGTTTGTTTGAATTTATGCACAAAACTACACATTGGGCAATCTGTACTCTGCCCACCACGGGTATCGAAACCCGGTTTCTAGCGTTATAAGTCTGCAGACATACCCTGGGGTGCCGCTAGGCAAATAGTAGCACCAATGTCGTTAGAGGTGGGTAGTTCTAAAGAATGTCACAAGGTTTTGATGTGTGATTCGTGAGAGAATCATCAGAAGGTAGACAAGAATGTAAAACATAGGCCAAAAACTATCTACTCCTAGCGACACACTTGGGAATTAAGCATCCCTTTGACGCCGCTTTGTGAAACAATCAGCCCCCTGGTGGCACATTGGAACTATCCGCCCATTGGCACCACTCTATAGAGTGATGACGTCACATAACCTCTCAAACTTCCAAAGATATCCTCGTTGGGCGACACCTTTTGATCTTCCCTCCACAGGTGCAGGCATCAATTTGAATCAGGTTAGGTGGGTGAACTGCTTATTTTATATTCATTATTTGTTGGGCAAAAGAGTTTTATCTGACTGACAATTCACGAATGACTATGTCATTAAGATCATGTGATATATAATTATCATTTCATAGTTCATGTATTTAGTATATATTCACCATAAAGAAATAAAAGTAAATAGATGAATAAGTCTGGTTACTTTAAATGCTTTTCGATTATTGAAACTGGTTTGCATAATATTTGCCTTCATATTATTCTTAATACACTTCAGATTCTCGCTGTTATTGATGTAAAAACAAAAAACAATTCAAAGACAATATCAACTATTTTATTTTCCGTGAAATGTTTTATTAAATTGTAAGACTTCATTGATCACTTATTAACTTGTCCCATTAGCTGAAATAAAAATAAGGTTGATGAGATAACACTGATAAAATTTCAATATGTTAATTGAAATACTAAGGAGAGAACTTATTCTGAGAAACAAGTTTCTAGGGGGGGGGGGTGATTTGTAGATCTAGTACATTTTACAAACACAAAAGACTATGTGTAGCCTGTAATCATTATCAGTATAATGCCATATTACACTTTTAATTAATATTGTATTGTATATAGTCAAGAATACTACTCTCGTATTTTCCCCAAGTAACTGCTGAGCAGGATGTTTTTTTAAACTCATATTTCTGTGAATTATAACGCACAAGTCCAATAATAACAGCAATTTTCATTGCAGATTTACATTGACCCTAAAAAGCCTGATGTAAGTAATTTTTTAGAATATCCTTATATAATTTTTATTAGCTATTAAATGTGTTTCTACCAAATTCTATGGTTTTTGAGAACTTAATCTTGTCTAACCAAAATCATTAGACATACATACTTATTGTTAAGAATAAGCAAACTTTAGTTTACTCTTTTAGAAGCTGTAAAAACGTAAATAATATTACATATTCTGATGTATCTCCTTTTAAAACTTTTCATTACGAAAAGTAATTCTACTTTAAGAGAAACAATAAACATATTTTCACTGAATAGTTTTTCAGAATTTCATCTTTTTAAAAACAATTAGACCTAAATATGCTGAACCAACTCCAGTTTTAGTTTAAATAAAGGAAAAAAACTGTAATTCTAACATTAGTTGAATTTTAATATCATGTTTTGGAATTTCTATGTTTTTTATTTATTTTACAGGATGTTATTGAAGCCTACACTTTCAAATTTGGTTATAATAAAACTGACACAACTATGACATGGTATGCTGTTACTTTTAAAATCAATAATTCTGATTAATATGTTGTTTGTTAGTTAGATTGTAGTTAAGCACAAAGCTACACAAAGGGCTATCTATGCTTTGCCCACCATGGGTATCGAAACCTGGTTTTTAGGCTGTAAATCCGCAGATATACCGCTATGCCACTGATATATTGTTAGATAAAATGCACAATTGTAGTTGTTTGTTTGTAATTAAGCACAAAGCTACACAATGGGCTATCTGTGCTCTGCCCACCACGGGTATCGAAACCCGGATTTTAGCGTTGTAAGTCCACAGACATACCGCTGTGCCACTGGGGGCTAATTGTAGTTGTAATTTAATATTTAAATTTCGTAAAAATAATTTATTATGCACGATAATCGATCGCACATTTTCTATCATCAATTATGTATAAAAGTTTAGAAACCATAATCATAATTTACTTGTATGAATATAATTTCATATGAAAATTGAATGGCTGCGAAGGAGAAAATTGTTAATATATTTACAGCGCATATCGCGATAGCCTTGTTGCTTTATAATTGGCGTTATTGTGGTAGAGCTTTTCGCTTTTATCGTGGAGGTAGGATAAGAAAATCGTACGTTGTTTAGAAACACTTCGACATCTAAGTTCTACAAAATCTTTATACGATAGTTAATGATAGGCGACTATCGTGCGCATTTATCACTCTATTATTGAAAAGATGTCATGCCAAAAATACCTAATCACCAATTGTAACGAATCATTTATTCGAAACAAATAATAATCGAAACATTGATATCAGGATTCTTTCAAAAATAGGATACTTATTAAGATTTACACAAGTTGAAAATAACAAACATACAATTCGAAAATGGTTGGCCACTACTTTTGTAAACGACACAACTAAACTTCAAACTTCTGACTCAAAGGTATAACGTTAAAACAAAAAGTTAGGAAAAATAGAGAAAAAATGGTTTTGTAAATTATCACAAGCTTTTTCATTATTTAAGACTCGTAAGTATAAAAAATCTGCTTAATAATACAACACTTGCAAAATCTCTGATTAATAACTATAACACACAAGATAACACCAATCTAATCAAAAACACCTTAGGTGTGAAAAAAAAAAGGATTGAGTGTGTGACTTAAAGGACTGAAATCAAAATTGGCGACCAAACTGGTAGCTACACTTATAGCATTGATAAGAATTTTACAGCAAATATTCATTCATTAGTTAGCCAAGCCGCGTTATTGTTCAACTTGGGGCATGATGGTGAGTAAAACAAAATACGTGGCCTAGCTGAAGTTCGTCAGAAAGAATTTATACCTGAATTTAACAAACGAGCAGATACCTAACAAATTGGTGTCAGAGAGTGGGACCGAAAAGAAAAAGATGGAAACGAGGAGAAAGAAAAGAAACAAGAAGAGAGACTACAGCAGTGGCAGGAAAACCAACACCAGTGGCAGCTAGAACAGCAAAATAAAGAAGAGAGATTAAAGCAGTTGTTGGAGGAAAAAGAAAAGAAACAAGAAGAACGAGAAAATAAACAAGAAGAGAGGTTACAGCAGTGGTTGGAGGAGAAAAAAAAGAAACAAGAAGAGAGACTACAACAGTGGCAGGAAAACCAGCACCAGTGGCAACTGGAACAAGAAAAGAAACAGGATTCTTCTAGACTCCAACAATTGAGAGAAAGCCAGCACACACAAATTGAAAATATTAGTAAATTTCAAAGTGAATTAAATACATTAAAGTATGATTTACTGTTATTTACACAAGGAGGATATATTAGACATGGACTTAATCAGCCCCAGACAAAAGG